GTAATTAATCAAAAAATAAATATTCTATTCATCCTTCAAATTTCAGCTTGTAAAGGCTTTTTTTTTTGCTTTTTTTCTAATTCTATATTTCTGTCAACTAATACCATCATTTTCAGAAGGAAAGAAAAACCAAAGAAACCAGCAATCAGTAATGTTTTAAAATGGAACACTTACCATTCGAAACGATATGGGTTGCAATTGAAACAACAAAAGCGGGTAAGAATGAGATCTCCTGATAAGTCAGCTTCTTTACTGCATCCCCGGAACCAATGTCGACCATGAACTGCGTAGCAATCAAAGTACCGATCGGAAGGGCGTATGCTACGAAAACAATATCCTGAGTTTTCCGGCTTATTGCAGCACCTGTGCAATAACTCACCGGAGCCACTGTGGTGCGAGCTGTAATTATCGTTGTTGCTTTTGTGAAGAAATTTTCCTATTTTTGGGCACAATTTATTGGATTGTTGAAGTAAAATCACCCAGGCTCAGATATCCGGCTTCTTCCCGCACTCCTTTCTTGCCGCAGGGATAATTTTCTCATCACTTCCTCATTTTTCTCCTCAGAAGTAAATTTACTATATATATATTTTTATCCACGGTATAGTGAATTATGTGTTAAACTACGCCCGAAAAGTTCATCTTCACAAAACTATCTCTTACTAAAAATCAATGCGAAGTACCAAAAAAACTCTGGAATAGTTTATTTTGAAATTTGATTTCAAATGTTTCTGGTCGTTAAACAACACAGACAGAGGCAGCAGAGCTCCGAAAATCAAGTAAAACAACGCAAAATTTTTTCTTTGCTTTTCCACTGAATCTAAATAAATAACGCAAAAAAATTGGAACTGCAAAAGTTCGGACTCGCAGTGTCACTAACGAGAGCTTTTGTCACACAGAGGGATAAAAACTGGTGTTCTGTGTAAAATTTATAAAGATCGATCGGAAGCGCTCGTGTCAGTAGGTTCAAATCTACGACCAGAAATCATCCACTAAGGTAACCCTTACAACTCAACTGAGGAATATCACTCTGCCAACAGCAACAGCTTGCTGCTAGAATGGTTGTTGATGTTTCAAACTTTAATTGAACAGCCTGGCAAAGTTTTGAAATGCAATAACACACTTACCAACTTCATCGAGCAGCTTTACAGCAGTTTTTCGGCCGTTTCGTTTAACGGCCCAGAGACGCACAGCTCCATCGGATGCGCCTGTTACGATGAAGTCCAAATCAGATGCTAAAACAGGAAAGTACTAATTGGTTAAACATATGTGGCTTTATCGCTTTAAATGACTCAAAAATTTTTCAAAAACAAAATAATAATTTGAAACCTGCTGCAATAATAAAATGCAAAAAAAAAAAAATCCCTTTTATTAAACATATTTTTTAGCTCCAAATTCTAAAAAAAACGATTCCTTCATAATGTACAACAAACAAGAAATTCATTTCAAGACGGATAAAACAATGCTAAGCACTTCTGTTGGGAGAAAAGTTAATTTTGGTTAGCTCTCCATCAAAAGAAACAAGCATCTGGGTCGGCAACACGCTGGACATCAAGCCGTGCAAATTGGTCAGAGTAACTGAAGAAGCTGCCAGCAGTAAAACTGCAGAAACACACTATCGAGCAATAAATATAATCTTTCGACGTCAATAATATTTTAAAACTCAGGTTATCAAAAAAAAAAAATCGATTCGAAAAATTTCCAGTAATTTACCTACACTGCGGTGATACCACGATACAAACTTCAAACAAGTGATCGGTTTTTCATGCGCATTTACTGTACTCTCTACCACCACACATCGATTGCTTTCCTAAAGGGAAAGAAAAAGCTAACGAACTAATCAATAACCTCGAAAACTGGCAAAATAAAAAAAAAAAAATTAAGACAGATTTGTTTGTGATATAGTATGTACATATCAGCCTGTGCTATCAGCC